AGTATACTATCATGTCATCAACATAGAGGGATAATTTTACCTCCTCGTTGCCTATTTGGATACCTTTTATTCCCTTCTCTTGTCTTATTGCTATTGCAGTTTTTATTTTTAAATGTTACAGATTTAATAGCACACAGGCCTTGGCTAACACGAAATTACAGGTAAAATTTAAAGACTAATATTTTACATTTATGATCCATAAATTACCAGTAGTCTTGTCATAAAGACTTTAGTCATTAATTTTTAAAAATGTGATCTTAATACAACATAGTTAACCTTCCACAGTTGCCCTGTATACACAATGTATTATAAATGTGCTTGCATATTTGTTTTTGAGATTTTAATCAAAGTTTATACAGAACTTGGATTTCCATTTATTCATTGTTGCATTTTCCTCCCTGCCCACGTACCCCCTAGTTCACTTTTCTCTTTGAAAACAAAATTCTTTCATTGTTGTACAATCCCCACCACACCCCTAGTCCACTTTACTATGCATCTTTTATTCTGGACTGTTGTCATGCAATAATATTTAATCATATTCCTTTTAAGCAGTTCTGTTCCTCATCTGTTTCAATGCACAGTACCTTATTTATCCCCCTTTTTCTTAGTTGGAATGGAACCTGACCCTCCAGCAGGTTTTCAAAGGCAGTTAATCATTTGGGAGGAGATTGCCCATCCTTTTCAAGCAAAGCAACTGGTATATTTGAACCACATGTCTTTAGGATTGCAACATAGCTTTATGCCACCAGAACTCCCTCTGTAGGTATTATTCGATGTACTTATTTTTTTAAAACAGATCTTGAACAAGTGGCAAAATATTTAAAAATGTGTTAAATCTAGATGCTAGGAATTTAAGTATCTACTATCTTTTTCATTGTGCTATATATGTTTGAAATATTTAATATTTTTAAAGGAAAAATAGCACAAAATAGTAAAAGATTATTATCAGAGTTTATTATAATTCTGGGGAGGGTTTTTGTGTCCTCTGTAAAGTAGCTTACTGTGCCTTTAGAGACTGGTGGAATCACTGGACCCAACATGTAACTATGGCCCTTAGTTACTCTTGGATCCTGGAACAAATCTAACCCATCTCCTCCCCCACCTCAACTTTTAGGCAAACAATAGGCCTGTAAGGTAAGTGTAGTAATCTTAAGATTTTACTTGAATGTGATATTAATGATACTGTACAATGATTTCCACATTCTT